ATCCTAGGTGGACCAGCAACAGGAAGGTAGACAGCGCTCTGGTTCACCGCGAAGAGGGTCCTTTCCCTTCCTGGCTGCGGACTACCCTGATGTCAGTCGCTTACCCTCTCTACTATGCAGGACTGTTCCTACTTCAACTCCAATGCTGTTCCCCTCAAGCTCGCCTTTCAAAATGTGGATCCCCTGGGGGAGAACATCAGAGTCATCTTCAAGGTGAGAGTGCCATACTCAGCGGCTTGGCGGCACATGCCTGAAATCTCAGCACTTAAGAGGCTGAGGCAGAGGGATTGCCATGAGGCAAGCCTGGGCTATGTAATGAGACACTGTTTCAGAAAACAAAATGAAGCAAAACCAATACTTTACTTATGCCTGGTGGAATGAAAACAGTGAGAGAAAAGAATGCTCAAGACTGTCAGGAAAGGCCTGGACCATTCCTATTCTCCTCTCTCCTCCTCTTCTCCCTCCTCCTCCTCTTCCCCTTCCTCCATCCCACCTCCACTCTCACCCGTATTGCTGGGGATTGAGCTCAGGGTCTTGAGCATACTAGGCAACAGCTTTGCCTCTGAGCCACATCTCCAGTCCACTCATACCCTTGGAAAGACTAGCAGATAAAAGGGGATTTTGATACATTCTGCCTGGCCCCAGCAGTGTTAGGAGAAATAGAGGCAATCGATAGGTCAGAATATGGAAGCACTTTCTGGGAGGCGGGGCTACTCCCACAATGCCATGGGTAAGGTGATAATCATATTCTAGTAAAAGATATGGCTGGGTGCTAGGGAATTTATATGAGGTACTGGTTAGACTAGATGAACCTCACACTCTCCCTTCTGACTGGCTCCTCCATGGTGGTGAGAATGATGGTGCCAGAGTATATGCTGCAGGGGGACAGGCAGCACAGAGTATAAGCTGCAGGGGGACAGGCAGCACAGAGTATATGCTGCAGGGGGACAGGCAGCACAGAGTACATGCTGCAGGGGGACAGGCAGCACAGAGTATATGCTGCAGGGGGACAGGCAGCACAGAGTACATGCTGCAGGGGGACAGGCAGCACAGAGTATATGCTGCAGGGGACAGGCAGGTAGTACCTACCTGAGGCTCAAAAATAGAACATATACTTAGCATTCACCTGGCTCTTGGTTCAATTTCTAGAACTCAACAAGTAAAATAAATATACTCTATGACTCGAACCTTATAGTGCACATTTGCTGTATAGTACAGCTAGTTCCTGATCCGGTATAAACAGTCACGTTTTTAAAAGGCCTGGGGAGCTGTGCAGTGGTGGTGCATGCCTTTCATCCCAGCACTTGAGAGGCAGAGGCAAGTGGATTTCTGAGTTCGAGGCCAGCCTGGTCTACAGAGTGAGTTCCAGGACAGCCAGGGCTACACAGAGAAACCCTGTTTCGAAAAACCAAAAAAAAAAAAAAAAAAAGCCTGAAGAATAAGACATAATGGGGGTCTATACCTGTAATCTAGCACTCACAGGTCAAGGCAGGAAGATTGCTGGTCAAGACCAGCCTGAGCTGCAGAGAGACCTTGTCACAGGGTTAGTGATCAGAGGAGTTTCTTGCAGAAAAGGAACTATAATGGGCATGCAGGAATATTGGGGGTGGGAGACACCGAAAAAGACAAACAGCAGGGATCAGTGTCCCCTCTCTTCCTCCTTGACCTCAAGTGGGCCCGGTCAACAGGTAAGTGGTGCAAAGCTGAAAAACTGCAGCTTCTCCCTGCCACAGGAGTTTGGAAGGCTGCGGGGGTTGGAAGGCTGCAGAAGGGAGTGGAAGTGGATTTTAATGGCTCTTCTTCCTTATCCAGTGTGGGGATGACCTTCGCCAGGACATGCTCACCCTGCAGATGATCCGCATCATGAGCAAGATCTGGGTGCAGGAGGGGCTGGACATGCGCATGGTCATTTTCCGCTGCTTCTCCACTGGCCGAGGAAAAGGTCAGTGGGGAGGCGGGCCAGGGCATCCCTTCCCTTGCTGCCTTCTGCCTGTTTCCCAACAATGGAGAATAGGAGGGCAGGGTTATTCCATGAGAAGATGTGGGGTGACTTGAAAAAAGAAAGTAAGGGAGAGACTGTTGCAAAACAAAACAGAGTGGGAGGCATAGCAACCTCTGTGGACTTTGGATCTTGATCAAACAAACCAATTGTAGTTCTGAGATGGCTGTAAGAAATCTGAAAATCAGCTGGCTTCAAGGGCTGCTGCCCATTTTTCTTTTCTTTTTTTTTTTTTCTTGGATATGACACATACTGGTTATTGTGTACTTGTTGATCATACTTAAAAGTATTTATGCACGAGATGGCATGTCTAGAGCCGAGGGTAGTGACAACACGCCTGTGATCCCAGCTCTCAGCTGAGGTGCAGGATCAGAAGTTTGAAGCCAGCCCTGGACTACAGAGTGAGACCCTGTCTTGCTCTGTCGTTAGTACTCCAGCAGGAGCGGCAAGAAATAGGAGGCTAGCTAGGTAATGGAGGGGATATGAGATTAGCTAAGTGTTGGTGCTCATTGAAGCTGGGTGGTGATTAAAAAGGCATTGATTAAAAAAAAAAACAAAAACCACTTTCATTTTCATTCTGTGTGTGTGTGTGTGTGTGTGTGTGTGTGTGTGTGTAAATTCTATAGTAAAATTCAAAAAGAGGGAAAAAAAAGAAACATTGAACTGTGGAAGCATGGAGCCAGTCGAGACTTTGTGATGTAGATGTGGTCTTCTGCCCATCATCCATCATGTGTGTATCCCTCCTAATAGCAGACTTTGTCCAAAAGCCCTAGAACTTAGCTCATGGGAAGCACCTAGCCCTGCTGCAGTAGACTTCTTCCCTGTGTTCTGGAGCATAAGCCCGACCCCTTCTTTCTCAGGGATGGTAGAGATGATACCCAACGCAGAGACACTGCGCAAGATCCAGGTGGAGCATGGCGTGACTGGCTCCTTCAAGGACCGTCCCTTGGCCGACTGGCTACAAAAACATAACCCCGGGGAGGATGAATATGAAAAGGTAGGATTGATGACTCAGAAGCTCGAGAGCTGAGGCTGTGTGCCTGACTGTGGCATATGGCTCTGCTCTCGCTGGACCTGCATGTCCACAGATGAGCATCTCAGCTTCCATGCTTCTGTGTAGATGGGTCAGATGCCTCTTGTAAAGTAACACTATTCTTTGATATTGGTCAGAGAAACTTTCCTTGGGTCTTACCGGAGGAGTGGGGCAGCTTTTGTGAGCTTGACTGTATCTGTCCTAACTATGGATCCAGGCCAGTTGCCCTCGAACATCCAGGGGGCTGTGGAGAATTCAAGATGGCAGCAAGAGGCTTTGGCTGTCATTTTTAATCCAGCCCCTTGTGCAACTAGAAGCCAAGATGGAGGCTATTGGTGAGACTAACAATGAGAGCAAAGAGGCCTGGCCGGCCCCGGGCTACAGGAAGAAAGTGAGCCTCCAGGGATGGTAGGACCTTGGTGGCTTGCTGTGAGCCATGGTCAGTACGCAGCTTCATGACTGTATTCTTTGGGTTAATGGAGTATGGGGCGAGAGTGGAAAGGGGCAGGTCGTGATAAGTCCAGCATCTGCACCACTGCCTTTGTCATTCAGCCTGGCCTGCCCCAGTCTCATCCTCTGCTCATCCAGGCTCAAGGGTAGGGGATACAGGCATGTGGTTAGTCAATAGTAGCCTTTGTCTAGAAAGCTATTTCCTTTTTCTCAGCCTTAAAAACTTCTCCTTCTATATTGTACAGCTCAACATATCTTTGGAGAGGACTACTATTGAATCTTCGCTCCCTCCTTCAGACCCATATGCTATTTATACCAACATGTTTTCCTGGTGCTGAACGTTTCCCATATCGCACACCGTGCTAGGTGTTAGAACTGTAATTACTCCATGCCAGTGTACTAGCAAGTCATAATAAATGTGGAAGTATCTCCAACAAGCAGACACATACCTCGAAGCTATCTTTGTTAATTTCCCCCTTTTTGGTTTTTTGAGACAGGACCTTGCTCTATAAAATAGCTTAGGTAGGCCTGGAACTCATGTTCCCCCCACCCCCAGCTTCCTGAATGTTGGGATTACAGGAGTGAGACATGGTCCTGGTAGTTTCTTATGGTAACGCCTAGAAGAAAAGATCTTGACTATATTCAGTAAGCAACATCCACATTTCATCAGGGAGACCCTCAAGTAAGGAGAAGGACCGTATAAATTGAGGTTCATACCTGTCCTGCTCAGGGAGGAGGGAAGAGGAGTGCACTCATTACTGGTGGCCATTAGACCAGCATGTTTTGATCTTCCAGAGGCCTTATCTGAAGAGAATGCCTGTGATGAGCAGGTTAATAGAGATGGTAAGCCAGAGCTGGGGTTGAGTAGGCTATGCTCCTTTTAAAGTGGTTTCCTTTCATTTATAGATTTTTTTTTCTTTCTAAGAAACGATCTTTCCTTTACAGAAACTGAATTCTGTGATGTCTGGCTTTTTGAGACAGCGTCTTATTATGTAGCCTGGCTGGCCTAGAACTCACTATGTAGACCAAGCTGGCCCCAAACTCAAAGAGGCCTGCCTCGGCCTCCCAAGTGGCACCATGCCTGACTCCCTCCTTTTTGTGTGTGTGTATGAACATGAGTGGGCTTAGTGCACACATCTATGGATGTGCAGGCCAAAGCAGGTCATCAAGTGTCTTCCTCTGCCAGTGTACTTTACTGTCTGTGGATAGGATCTGTTCATAAGCTGGAAGCTTACTGTTTCAGCTTGCCTGGCAGGCCAGTGAACTCCCAGACTCTGTCTGACTCTGTCCCACCACACTGGGGTTCCAGGCATGCACGGCCATACCCAGCTTTTTTTTTTTTTTTTTAACTTCATTACTACGGGTTCAAACTCAGATCCTCATGCTTATGGCGCAAGTCCTCTTACACCAGCCCCTCCCACCCCTTAAGCCCAAAAATATCCCCAACACATTTTTACCAAATAGAGAGATCTGATTCTCAAGTGCAAAACACCGTAAGAAGTGTGAAGCTGCCTCAGCTATTCTCTGGAGTGGGGTGATTTTAATTAGGTAAGCACTTAGCTGGCATCAAGTACTCTGGGAGTGGATTGTTATTTGGGACAGGAAGACGGGTGGATGAAGAAAGGTCAGGTGCCTTTAGTTCCGATACTCAGTAGCCAGACTCAAGTCAGGGCTATCATGACCTGCGGGAAAAGTTTTAAGCATCAGCCTTTCTGTTCAGTAAGTCTTCCTGTCTGGACTTGCTCATGCCCACTGTCTCTCTAGCCAAAAAACCAAATTCAGATGAAAGGTATATATAGACATATAAGCCTCCCATCTCCTTCTACTTCAGAAAGCATGGAGGACGTTTCTGTGTACATAGTGTGTGCTTTGGTATATGATGAAGGTAATCAGGCAGGTACTGATGCTGCTGGCGTTCTCATGAGAGAAGAGGGTTAGAGCTGGCTGTGGCTCCACCCCTGCCTCTGCTTTCACAGGCTGTGGAGAACTTCATCTACTCTTGTGCTGGCTGCTGTGTAGCTACATACATCTTGGGCATCTGTGACAGACACAATGACAACATCATGCTGAAGACCACGGGCCACATGTTCCATATAGATTTTGGCCGCTTCCTGGGCCATGCACAGATGTTCGGTAATATCAAGAGGTAAGTGGCTTCCTGTGTCTCAGAGGGCCAGAGTGGTTCAGAACTGGGGCACAAGACAGTGACTGGAGCAGCTGGGCCTCAGAGCACTGACCCTGGGCTGAGCAGCTCAGGGGACCAGAAGACTGATAAGGAGCTCAAGTTTGCACACAGCCTTGTGCAAAGACCAGCTCTTATCCTTCTTCACTGAGGACCAAGCAAAGCGACAGGAAGCTGAGAACCATTGAGGAGCGGGGAGAAAGTATTGCTAGATCCCAGGTCAGAACACATAGTGAGGGGCAGAGGAAAGCAAAGTGGACCTTGATGGAGCTTACAAGGTGACCTCCCTTCTCCATATTGACCTTCTACCTGTATGTTCCCTTGGCCCAGGGACCGTGCCCCGTTTGTCTTTACCTCGGACATGGCCTATGTCATCAACGGGGGTGACAAGCCTTCCAGCCGCTTCCATGATTTTGTTGACCTTTGCTGCCAAGCCTACAACCTCATTCGCAAGCACACTCACCTCTTCCTCAACCTTCTGGGCCTGGTGAGAAGCTTCATCTCTTTGTGAACTCTCCTGTTATTACCTGGCTCCATCTGCAAGGCTGCCCTGGATTGTTCCAGAGGATCCCTGGAGCTCCACTCCTCCCAACTGTGTCACATGACTTCCCTAAGGGCAGGCAGCCAAACTACCCAGGGACAGTGGTGCCTGACCTCTTTAGTCCCTCAGTTCCTGTGGCCCTCTAACCTCTGCCCACAGCATCTGTCTATAACCCCAAAGGCTCAGAGAGGAAGCAGTGCTGGGCTGCTGTGACAGGCAGATCTCCTTTTCTCTTCCAGATGTTGTCCTGTGGAATCCCTGAGCTCTCAGACCTGGAGGACCTCAAGTATGTGTATGATGCCCTGAGACCTCAGGACACAGAGGCCAATGCCACCACCTACTTCACAAGGTACATGCAGCACGAACCAGTGCTGCCCACCCAAGTGGTCCGCAGGCTGGGCAGTGGGAAAGGCTTAGCCCAAATGTTAGTGCCAGGGCTGTGGTCTGCTATCCCGGTTTTGCCTTGGTAATCACTTTGTTCCTGTCTGCATTCTGAAGCTAATGTATAAGTAGCCCTGGCTGTCCTGGAACTTACTCTGTAGACCAGGGTAGCCTCAGACTCAGAGGTCTGTCTGCCTCTGCCTCCCGAGTGCTGGGATTGAAGATATGTACCACCACTGCCTATCCCTGATTTGTCTTTTTACCAGGTCCCAACCAGAAACTTTGTCTAGGAGTCAGGATGGAAGCTGGATTTTATAAAAAGGTTTTCTTTTTAGTTTTTCAAGACAGGGTTTTTCTGTGTAGTCCTGGCTGTCCTGGAACCTGTTCTATAAACCAGGTTGGTCTTGAAGGAACTCAGAGATCCACCTGCCTCTGCTGGGGTTCAAGGTGTGAGCCCCCACACCTGTTTTTTTTTTGAAGATTTATTTACTTTTATTTATATGAATACACTATAGCTGTTTTCAGACACACTAAAAGAGGACATCGGATCCCAATACAGATGGTTGTGAGCCACCATGTCGTTGCTGGGAATTGAACTCAGGACCTCCAGAAGAGCAGTCGGTGCTCTTAACCACTGAGCCATCTCTTCAGCCCTTGCCCCCAACCTGGTTTATAATCATTCTTTTCGTCAGACCCTCTCCATTTCATTGGACCTCACTGAGAATTTAATGTTTTTGAGAAGTGCCTAGTGTGGTCCTTGAATTCCATTTGATAGTACCATGTGGACATGTGCTGTCCCAAGTTCCCTTTTCCCTTGGCAAAAGGAACAGGAACTCAGGATTCACAGACATAAACTGCATGAGATGACTATGTCAGTCATGTGCTCTGTGAGACTGTTACATTGGGAATGTAATTTGATCTGGTAGTTATTTTCAGAACTCAGGGCTGGGCATGGTAGCACACACCAGTGATCCTGGTACTTAGGAAGCTGAGGCAGGAGGATCAGTGGCTCAGGGCATGAATTTGAGGCTAGGCTACACAGTGAGATCCTGTCCTACTTCCCCACAGAAAAAAAGGAAAAAACAAAGCAAGCCACCTCAGGACTTGGGATATCTGCTTGGGTAGCAGTCAAGGCAAAGGGAGGTTGGGTCCCTAGCTACATCCCTCATTTTCCATGCTCATACAGATTGATTGAGTCCAGCCTGGGCAGCGTAGCCACAAAACTCAACTTTTTCATCCATAACCTGGCTCAGATGAAGTTCACAGGCTCAGATGACCGGCTGACCCTCTCCTTTGCCCCCCGAACACATACTCTTAAGAGCTCTGGCCGCATCCGTGATGTCTTTCTCTGTCGGCATGAGAAGGTCTTCCACCCCAGCAAGGGCTATGTAAGTGTTCTTCCTCTCTGATCCTCTGTCGATCCCTGTCCTCCGGGCTTCTTAGGGTTAACTCTCTGTACATCTGCACAGTGGGCCCTGGAGTTTACTGAGGCTATTGACTGGGAATAAACCCAGACAGACCAGTTCCCTTGCTTATGTGACCTGCACAGTGGGCTCAGGGTGCTGAACTGGTTGGTAATTTTGTGAGTCGTGTGTCCTATGAGACACAGGCAGGAAGTCTCTGCTTTTAGGTTCCTGCTTGTGTGTTGCCTACCCTCTTCACTAGAGACTTTCTTTCAGGAATATAACACACACACACACATATGCACGCACGCGCACACGCACACGCAGGCACTCCTACTCCCCTCTGGCAGGCAGCCGGTCAGGCAGGTGTACTCTGAGTTTGGCCTTTGCAGATCTATGTGGTGAAGGTGATGCGAGACAATGCTCACGAGGCAACGTACATCCAGAGGACATTTGAGGAGTTCCAGGAACTGCACAATAAGCTGCGCCTGCTCTTCCCGTCTTCCTTCCTGCCCAGGTAGCCCCTCTCCCCTAATCCTGCTAGAACCGAAGGATACAGGGGGAGGAGGAGGGGAGTGGCTAGCAGGCAGGACTGCTGTTTCAGAAGGAACCATTTCAAATTGAGGATGCTTGGTGTTAGGCTTGGTAACAGGTGCGCCCCCTGCTGGCTCGCATCACCAGGCATCCGACCGCCTTGCTCTAGCCTTGGAAAACAAAACATGGGGGCACCAGCCAGAAGGAAAGTCAGCTGAGCTGAAAGCAGGGCACTAGGTGAATCTGAACATATGACTCAAAGTTTATAATGTATCAAAAGAATTTATGTGTGTGTATATAATATATTATATATACGTATATAATGTACTATATATATAATACAATGTATATATGTGATAATATATAGTATGTAAATATAATAGCACATATATATATATATATGTATATATATAAATTGAAATGGAAGGACTTTCAATAGCTACATCATGAATGAGCCTAAATGAAAGATGCCAGGCACAAGATGATTCGATTTATTGGAGTCCCCCAGAGTAATCAGAGTCTTACAGACAGAATGCAGAATCGGTGGCTGAGGTATAACAAGCATTCTACTTCAGCTTTGCAAGATAGAAAGAGTTCTGGACCTGACTTCCCATGGTGTTTATGCTACACGGTGAATGTATTCAATGCCACAGAGCCATACACAGAAGTCTTACAATAAATGCCCGATGGTTAAAAGAATTCTCTAAGGTCCTAGGAAGTGGGGTGTGTGTGTGTGTGTGTGTGTGTGTGGTGTGTACTGGGGAGTCTGGTAGGAGTCAGGGAGGCAAGGGTCCCCCAGAAGAGAAGCAAGCGAGGATCAGGTACCTAGAAATGCAAATGAAATGTCTGAACCCTCCTGTTCACTCCCTGCCCCTGTGTCCTTTTTCTGCCTGTCCCTCTACCCTCTAGCTTCCCTAGTCGGTTTGTGATTGGCCGCTCCCGGGGAGAGGCAGTGGCTGAGAGACGGAGGGAAGAGCTAAATGGCTACATCTGGCACTTGATTCATGCAGCCCCTGAGGTGGCTGAGGTGAGTGAGTAGGTGTAGGGTGTGAGAGAGGAGTAGGTCTGAGTCCTGGGGAGTCACGAGGGGTCTGTAAACTGGGGAATGACCAATGCCTGGCTCTACTTCAGATGAGAGAGCACAGGTGGATCTAGCCTCAGACCTAGGTTTGGTTTGTAGTGGGTCTAGCCTCAGACCTAGGTTTGGTTTGGTTTTGCTTTCATTTCCTGTGCTTAGTTAGAAACATTCACCCAAGAAAGGCTTGTGTTTCAGGCCCAGACTAACTCAGGGATACATCCTGCCCCAGCTGTGTGTGTCAGTGGGGAAGTAGAGAAGAGAGGAATACAATGCTGTAGACTGCTTTTGGCTGGAAGTGGCCTGGGTGTTTTTATTTACTTGTCTTTGTCTGTTTTATCTTTTGAGATGGGGTCCCATAGTTTTTGTTTTTAGAGACAGAGTTTCTCTGTGTAGCCCAAGCTTTCCTGGAACTCACTCTGTAGACCAGCCTGGCCTTGGTCTACCTGCCTCTGCCTCCTGGGTGCTGGGATTACAAGTGTGGACCTCCGTCACTGCCGCCCAGCTTGGGGGGTCTCGCTCTGTAACTCAGGTTAGCCTAGAACTCACTTTGCAGACTAGGCTAACCTTGAACTTGTAACAGTCTACCCTTTGCTTTTTGAGTGCTGAGAGTATTTATTCCCCCACACATCCAACCACTGGCTATTTTTTTATTTTAAAAAAATGTGTGTGGGGCTGGAGAGATGGCTCAGCAGTTAAGAGCACTGACTGCTCTTCCAGAGGTCCTGAGTTCAAATCCCAGCAACCACATGGTGGCTCACAACCATCTGTAATGAGATTGGATGCCCTCTTCTGGTGTGTCTGAAGACAGCTACAGTATATTCATAAATAAAATAAATAAATAAATCTTTAAAAAAAAAAGTGTGTGTGTGTGTGTGTGTGTGTGTGTGTACGCACGTGCACGCCTGTCTGTCTGTCTGTGTGCAAATAAAATTAACCCTTCCATGGTCATGTCTTACTGAAGAGTGGCCTGTTTTCTGGTCTGTTCCAGTGTGATCTGGTGTATACTTTCTTCCATCCCCTGCCTCGAGATGAGAAGGCTTCAGGCCCCAGCCCAGCTCCGAAGTCCTCAGGTACAGTACCCTCCCAGTGGTGCAGTACCCTCCCGGTGGTATAGTACCTTCCTGGTGGCTGTCCTGCCAAACCACAGCCCCACTTCTTTCTCAACCCTTTTTCCTGTTCAGTTGTTTACTTGCTGAGGCCTCAGGCTTTCCATCCAGGCTGTAGTGTCCACAGCTCTATGGCTGGGTTTCCTAGGGGATGGCTAGTTAGTTAGTGATTACTCTGTCAGATAGAGGACACTCATCCCAGTCCAATTCTACGTGGCATTCCAGAGCACATGAATATCAGAAACCTGACAGGCTGGGGCAGGGCTTCAGGAAGGAAGTAGAAATGTCTGCCTGGCATCAGTCAGGGGCACTACTGGCCTATAGACCTGTTTCCTTTATTTCTACAGATGGGACATGGGCCCGGCCAGTTGGGAAGGTCGGTGGGGAGGTGAAGCTGTCGATCTCCTACAAAAACAACAAACTCTTCATCATGGTGATGCATATTCGGGGCTTGGTAAGTGCAGGCAATGGCTCTCTCTCATTTGGTCTTTGGTCTTTTTGTTGGTGGTTTTTGGACGAG